CCCCCCCCCCTCCCCCTCGCTCCCCCCCTCCCCGCGGCCGATGGAAACCCCGGGCGTGATGTCAGCCTTGGGACCGAGCGGGAAGGCGAGGGGAGGAGTCAGTCAGTGTGGGAAGCGGGCCGGGCGGAGGGCCTCGCCGAGCGGCGTGAGGGGAGAGGGAAGGCGGGCGGGTTGAAGGACGGAGGAGGAGGCCCCCGCCGGGAGCGGGGACTGGGACTGCTGGAAGACGCGCGTGTGTGGGTCCGTCCTCGGTGTGGGAAACCGCCCGCCAGTCACGAGAGACCAGCTGGGAAAAGTCATTTCGGGACTCGGTGTGCGAAATTGGGGAGAGGGGTCGTGACGGTCCCTCCCCCGTTCGAGTAGGCGGATAAATTGAATTCGGTCCGGGAAACTGTGCGTGTAGGTGGGAGAGAGACCGCCTTCCTTTCCCTCTCGTCTTTGCACATGGGCGGGCAGCCGGGCCCCTGTTCTCTTCCAAATTGTTTCTCTCCGGTGACCCTGCTGGGAGGCGTATGAACGGCCGCGGAACGTCTCGGCTTGCGTGTGTAGTAATAGAAGCAGGAGTTTGAGGTCGCAATCCTGTACGCTTGCTTGAAAGGAAAACTCCCTGAAACGTTCGCCTAGTAATGCCTGGCTTGTTTTATTTCCTGTTGAACCCGTTAAAACCAGCCCATTTTTTGTTTCATTTAAGTATATATCTCCAAAGGTTGTGTGCTCTCTGTTAATAATACCTGTCAGGACACTCTAGGATAACTACAGTAGTCGATTTCCAGGCGGTGAGTAAAAGTTGTCATACTGTATCTATATTTTCTCTTTTCTCTAGCTGAAAGAGTATTTTAGTGCCACTCAGGCAGCTTACTTGCTAAGTGGTTGTATGTTGATCCAATTAAGAAATGTTTAAAATTTTAATGGCTTCGCCTTCTTGCAGTAAAATTCATACTACTAGATATGGAATTTTAAACCTACATCACTTGAGATTATAAACCTCATTCTGAAATATCTGGAATCTGAGTCATAGCAACTGGACCTCTTTTGTTGTTAGGGTGAAAGATTTCACTATTCATCTAAGTAGTTTCTTCAGAGAGTTGGTAGGAGACCCCTGATATATCCTCTAGCTGGGTTTCTCTTGGTCTGGCTTGTTAGATGGACAAGATGAGTGAGGTTGAGTGAAAATCCCAGCTCTTCAGTCCTTCTACACTCATCGTTGTCGTTTTGTCGTGTCCTACTCTTTGTGACCCCATGGACCACAGCACGCCAGGCCCTCCCATCTTCCATTGCCTCCCGGAGTTGGGTCAAATTCATGTTGGTAGCTTCGATGACACTGTCCAACCATCTCGTCCTCTGTCGTCCCCTTCTCCTCTTGCCTTCACACTTTCCTAACATCAAGGTCTTTTCCAAGGAGTCTTCTCTTCTCATGAGATGGCCAAAGTATTGGAGCCTGAGCTTCAGGATCTGTCCTTCCAGTGAACACTCAGGGTTGATTT